CAATACATTAATAGTTTAAACATCAAGACTAAGCAAAACATTTTAAATATACACGCTGTGTTGAACCTTCAATACATTAATAGTTTAAACATCAAGACTAAGCAAAACCATTTTAAGTATACACGCTGTGTTGAACCTTCAATACATTAATAGTTTAAACATCAAGACTAAGCAAACCATTTTAAATATACACGCTGTGTTGAACCTTCAATACATTAATAGTTTAAACATCAAGACTAAAACCATTTTAAACACGCTGTGTTGAACCTTTTTAATAGTTTAAACATCAAGATACACGCTGTGTTGAACCTTCAATACATTAATAGTTTAAACATCAAGACTAAGCAAACCATTTTAAGTATACACGCTGTGTTGAACCTTCAATACATTAATAGTTTAAACATCAAGACTAAGCAAACCATTTTAAATATACACGCTGTGTTGAACCTTCAATACATTAATAGTTTAAACATCAAGACTAAGCAAACCATTTTAAGTATACACGCTGTGTTGAACCTTCAATACATTAATAGTTTAAACATCAAGACTAAGCAAACCATTTTAAATATACACGCTGTGTTGAACCTTCAATACATTAATAGTTTAAACATCAAGATTAAGCAAAACATTTTAAATAGATAATTGGATAATGGAGGCAATTGAAATATTCTGTAAACAAAAGCAATGAATACCTGAGATTAAGATGTACGAACAGAACATAAATCTAAAAATATTAAATATTAAAATACCGCTAAATTATTTTTCTATTGTACAACAACGTTTAAAAGGACTTTCATTTTAACCCATTAGCATGAATTAGAAGTCTTAAATCCCGGCTCGTGGCTCAGTGGCAACTCGCACCGCTGGTAAGCATTAGAGCTGAGCTTCAATCCACTAGCAACTTTGTTGTCGACACTGTTTTAAAAAACGAGGAGATCCGATGGCTTTGTAATATTCAGTATCTGGATTCTTTAGTCGGATTACCTGGTGGGAGTTTTTCCGGGTTTTCTCCCATGCGATACGCAAATGAGTGGTAGTTCTTTTTAAAATTCCTCCCGGAAGGCACTGCCCTTCTTCTTCAAAGACACGAAGTCAAGTTATAATTCTACCTACGGGTGCCCCATCACAACAAAAACTGCAACCATTAGCCCTCCTTCCATGAGACCACATGGGTTCTTAGACTTGGTCCAGATCAGGAGCGGCCAACCCGCGGCCCACCTTGAATGTTTTTTGCGGCCGGTGAGATTTATCCCACTTTTACAAAATATATTTATTTTACAATGGCCGAAGTAGTGAAAACCGATGTATTAAAAAATACATTATTTGTGAATTCATATATTCAAAATTACATCAAACATGCAAAAAAATAAGAAAACTTACAGCTGATTTTGAAAGCCGATTCAGTAATTTAGAGTTAGACAAATAAAACAAAATTTTTGAAATGTATTCATATCCCTTTCATGTTGAAATCCAGTCGGCCCCAGAATATCTCGGAACTGGTGGTGGTACTGGTTGACTTACAATCCAATATCGAATTAAAACGCATTTTTGAAACATCACAATCAAAAATCTGATTCTTACAACACTTAGGTCTCAAAAGAGAAATTTTCCAATTTGGGAAATCTGACACAAGAAACTATCAGCGCTTTGGGTCCAATTTACACCTGCGAATCCGAATCGGGTTTTTTTTTTTTCCCAAAAATGAAATTGACCCAACACAAAACACGCTCAAACATTACGGACGCTAACCTGCAACATCCAACATTGCGATGTGACAATACCCAAATTGATATCGATTTGCAAAAGGTAGTGAAAGAGTAGAGAAACAAATATCGCACCTAGTAAAATAAATATTTTTTAACGATTTCATTTATTTTTTTATTTCGTTTATATTTGTGTAATTTTTATGTTTCATTTTTAGTGTTATATATTTCTTTACAATGTGCATTTAGTATCATTATTAGTATATTGAATATTTTTTGCGGCCCGTGAGATTTATCACACTTTTACAAAATATATTTATTTTACAATGGCCGAAGTAGTGAAAAACAATGTATTAAAAAAATTCATTATGCGTGCATCCACATATTCAAAAATTAACTGCCGAAATGATGAGAAAAAATTAACTTGGATTTTAAAATAATATTCTTGCGAATATAGGAGAGATATTGCCTGTTTTATTTATGAGTTTACAGTTATGAGTTCGCAGAATAATTAAATTATAAACACCAATTACGATTGCCACACCAACTACGCAGTAATAATATTAATATGGACATAGGTTTGCAAAAGCTAAGTGAAACAGTGGAGAAACACATATCGCACGAGTAAAATAAATATTTTTTAATGATTTCTTTTTTTTTTATTTCGTTTATATTTATATATTTTTTATATTTCATTTTTAATGTTATATATTTCTTTACAATGTGCATTTAGTATCATTATTATTATATTGTCTATGTTTACATGTAAGAATAATAGTAAACACAATAATAATAACTCATTATGTTTCAATTTTTCACTCCAAAAAAAAAGTGTCTATAGTGGGTCTAAAGCTAATGTGGGGATATATAATTTTATATGCGACCCGCGGAGTTAGGATGCATTTCCAAAGTGGAATGCAAGATCATTTGGGTTGGCCACCCCTGATCTAGATGCTGCTGTCTACCAAGTGGGATAAGAAACAAACAGAAGTCTTAAATGTTTACTGCAGAAATATTTTTCAGATAATATAGTTTTAACTATTAATTTGTCATGTAAAATTTAATGTCTTGATTTATATGACTAAACATGACAATGAATTGAATGTTCACAAAATATTGATATTCTCTGTATAAAAGAGAGATATTTTTAATTGGTTGTTTAAATTAGAGCTTGGACAATTACAAATCGATACTCAAAATATAGCCAAATTGCAAGTGGAGTTTTTAATTTAATTTATTAAAAACACATTTTAAAAAAAAAAAGATTTCTGGGTTTTTTTTTTTTAATTTTTAAATATGTTCATAAATTTATCTTTTCTATGAACACTAACGGTAACTATGAAATGTCTTTTTAAATTACATGCTAAAAAGCATACCATATCGATTGAATTAATGTAGCAATTCTTTTTATTTCTTCAGCGCACTTTATTTCGTTCTACTTATTCAATTTTACATCGAAGCGTTGATAAAATGTTGCTTTTAAACCAAATCTAATCAACGTAAGAGAATATGTAGGAGTTAATAATCAAAATTTCTTTTAACATTTTACTAAAATGCTTTCCCTTGCGTTGCCCAAATCGTTCAGAATAATTTAACTGCGTTCTATATTAGTGAGGTTCCTTTAGAAACTTAATGCTTTTACTGGAAAAGTTGAAGAAATCAAATTTATTTCAATTTTGTTACATTCTAATTTTGATAAAGTGAATTATGAAGTAATTTTTTATCTAATGTTCGAATGCTTTATTGTAGCAGTAATAATTAGTTTTGATCAAATCCTTAAAAATGCTGATTATCTGTATCAATTGAAAATTAAAGTATTAATTTAAGTATTTTACACAGTTTAGCAGACTATTGTTTATGTAGTTACAATTTGTAGCTATTCTTAGAATTACCGGTAATTAGCCAATCTTAGGTAATTAACCAATCCAATTGAGCTTAAAATTGGTAATTAATTAATTAAACTGAATTTGAAATTGGTAATTGGCAAATCCAACTGAATTTGAAATTGGTAACTAACCAATCAAACTGAATTTGAAATTTGTAACTAACTAATCTAACAGTAATTTAAAATGGTAACTAACTAATCCAACCAAGTTTTAAATTGGTAACTAACTAATCCAACCAAGTTTTAAATTGGTAACTAACTAAACCAATAGAAATTGCAATTTATAACTAACTAATACAACTGAGATTGAAATTGATGACTAACTAAACCAACTGAGCTTGGTATTGGTATTGGTAATTAACTATACCAATTGATCTTACAATTAATTCATGATTGTATAGTTGCATTGTGTTATGCGAAATAACTTATTTTTTGAAGTATAGCAAACTATTAATTAAATGCTTTTAATACGAAAACCTTTTATAGAATCTTTACCAGTAATTAGGCATTCTAAAATTATAAATTAAGATAATTATATTACATCGCAGACTCAGTAATCTTTCTGCTTCCTTTACAATACGTTGTAGGCGATTCAAAAGAGAGGATAGAATGAGAAATTAATCGATAGCTGATTCAGAAAATCGATATTTATTGTTCTACTTAATACCAAGAAATGTAAATATGTTGTGTTACACGAAATATTTCATGATTTTTCGAAGTGTAGCACACTATTAATTACAATGTTTTTAATATCAAAAGCTTTTATAGAAACTTTTCCAGAATCAAACATTATAAAACCTCAAAGTAATTCAATTTTACTCTATCGCAGATGCGGATAATCGAAGGCACTCTTTCCTGCTTCCTTCACAATGCATTGTAGGCAAATCAAAAGAGAAGATAGGATGAGGAAATAATCGATAGCTGATTCAGAAAATCGATATTTATTGTTGTACTTAATACCAAGAAATGTAAATATGTTGTGTTACACGAAATATTTCGTGATTTTTTCGAAGTGTAGCACACTATTAATTACAATGTTTTTAATATCAAAAGCTTTATTTTTTTTCCAGAATCAAACATTATAAAACCTCAAAGTAATGTAATTTTACTCCGGATAATCGAAGGCACTCTTTCCTGCTTCCTTCACAATGCATTGTAGGCAAATCAAAAGAGAAGATAGGATGAGGAAATAATCGATAGCTGATTCAGAAAATCGATATTTATTGTTCCATTTAATAACAAAAAATTTTTAAATGTTGTGTTATATGAAAAAAAAATTTTTTTGAAGTGCAACAAACTATTAATTAAAAGGCTTTTAATAATAGTAGTAATTACCAATAATTATAACCACCAGTAGTTACGCATTCTAAAATTTTAAATTTATGTAATTGTAATTGTATAATTACATCGCCAACGGCCGTACCATGCTGAATATACCGGTTCTCGTTAGATCACCGAAGTTAAGCATCATTGGGCGGTCGGTATGGGTGACCACCTGAACACTGCGTGCCGTTGGCAAATTTGGGAAAATGGCAATCTTATCGGGTTCGAATCTTCCATGGATGTTTGTAAAACTTTAAGTAGGTCCTGGTCTTCTATGACTGTAAGAGCGTCAAGCAAAAGTCAGGCTTCAAAATCACAACAGAAGGATCATGAGTCCATATGAGAAGATAAGAAACAACAACAACAACATAATTACATAAATTTAAAATACTATCGCAGACTCGGATAATTAAAGGCAATCTTATTTCCTCTAAAATAAGTTGTAGTCATTTCAAAACAGAGGATAGAATGAGAAGATAATCGATAGCTGATTCAGAAAATCGATATTTATTTTTCCACTTAATACCAAGGAATTTGAAATATGCTTGTTATGCGAAATAACTATTTTTTTTTAAAATGTAGTAAACTATTAAATAAAATCTTTTTAATACCAAAAACCTTTTGTAAAATCTTTGCCAGTTAGCTTGGCCTTAATTAAGCATTCTAAAGTTTTAAATTAATGTAATTATATCCCATCGTAAATTCGGATAATCAAAGGCAATCTTTCCTGCTTTCTGTGCAATACGTTGTTGGCAATCCAAATAGGATGATTGAATGAGAAGATAATCGATAGCTGATTCAGAAAATCGATATTTATTGTTCAAATCAATACCAAGAAATTTGAAATATGTTGTATTACTCTAAATAACTGATTTTTCGAAATGTAACAAACTATTAATTAAAATGTTTTGAATAGCAAAAACTTTTTTATAGAAACTTTACCAGTTATTAGGCATTCTAAAATTTTTAATTAATATAATTATACTCCATCTCATACTCAGATAATCAAAAGAATCTATCCTGCTTCCTTTACAATACGTTGTTGGCAATTCAAAAGAGAAGATCGGATGAGAAGATAATCGATAGATGATTCCGAAAATCGATATTTATTGTTCCGCATCATAACAATAAATTTGAAACATGTTGCGTTATACGAAACAACTAATTTTCCGAAATGCAACTAACAGTTACTTTAATTAATACACTTAAATATTTATAGGAACTTTTCCAGCCATTAAATATTAGAAAACTCAAAGTTGTATAATTATATTTAACCACAGTATTGACGCAAAGGAAATCTTTACTCTATCCTGTATAATAAGTTGTAAGACATTAAAAAAGGAGAAGTTGATGAAAGAATAATCGATAACTGGTTCAGATAATCAATATTTATTATTACGTCTAATAAGAAAAAAATATCATTTGAAATATTATACGAAATAACTGATTTTTGAAATGTAGTAAATTATTAATTAAAATGGTCCTAATACCAAAATCTTTTATAGAAATTTTATCACAAAAAAAAAAAATTAGGAAAAAATAAAAATCATATATATTGAAATAAATAGAAGAGAATTTATGAATTGACAAAAATAGAAGAGAATTTATATATTGATAAAAATAGAAGAGAATTTGCATTTTTTAAAATCCGGTAATGTATTATGATGTTAGACTTTAATTTCTTGTTTATTTGCATTTTCTTATTATCAAGTGTAGATAGGATGTTAAGACCTGATGACTGAGTGATTGGCGCTCGGTGCCACAGGTTTCGGGTTCGAGTCCCGGCGGAGCCGTGGATGTTTGCAGTGGTTTTGAATCCCCATTAAACCGTCGGTCCCGGTCTAATATAACTGTAAGGCGTAGGGTTGACAACTCCACTCAGTAAAAAGAAAACATCTTCTGTTTTGAAATCTGCCTGTATGCAAACGGCAGGACCCACAATGATGTGCCAATGATGCCAATGATGCCAATGGCCAATGGTGCCAATGATGATGATCTAATCTGTATTTTTAGTTTTTACGAAATGGAATGACTTTCTGAGTTAATTTTTTTTATTTCATGTAGACATTATTCAGAAATACAAAGAAATAATAATAAAAATTTAAGAAATATTATTAAATTAAAAAAAACATTATAATATATGTAACTAAATATTGATGTTTGACTATTTTGATACTCCTCAGAAAGTAATTTAAATTTTGAAACTCGTTTGTAAATCTAACATGAAACACAAATTTTGACTAATACATGCGCATTTGTAAATATTTACTTTTATAAAGAAATCCATACAAGTCTTTTATAAAGATATAGTAATAAATTTATTTTAATCTTAACTATTTAACCTTAACTATCATTATATATTTTTATTTATTAACTATAAAAGGGGCTTCAACCCTACCCCGTAAAAAGAAAACAACTTTGTCTTGAAATATGCCAGTAGGCAGACGGACTTGTTCCACCATAAGGCTGTCGCGCCAATAAATGTAGAAGAAGAAATTTTTTTAAATGTACGAAGACTTTTGTGATGTAATTTTTTGTTACTTTTTCTATTATAGATTTTCTAAAAAAAGTTTTACTATTTTCCTAAAATATCTCATGTAGGTTAGTTAATAAGAAGTATTATTAAAATAATTCTCGTTCTGAAATATTAATTTTTTTTCCTACATCAAACTGTAGCGATATCCGCCATAATTTGTATTAATGGATAAAACAGTATTTCACTGAAATTCGTAAGTGTACAACTAGAACACTTTTGCGAATCACTGTATGTTATAAAGGAAACTTATAATGATTACACTAACATAAATAGCACATGACAACATTCAATTAACTAATATTTACTTTTAAAATTCTTCTAATTAATTTCACTAACCGAGCAGATAAATGGGGATTTTTTGAGGGATATATTGTTAAAGTGCACAAAGACTTTTGTGAGATAACTTTTTGTTACTTTTCCTATTACAGATTTTCTATTAAAAGTTTTATTATTTTCAAAAAATGTATGTAGGTAGGTTTGTTAATAAAAAGTTATTATTAAAATAATTCTGGTTCTAAAATATTAATTTGTCTTTTTTTTTTTTTTTTTTTTTTTTTTTTTTTTTTTCATGTTTTTCTATTAGTTGCTCACACTCTCCCTACATATATCTTGTTCAAATTTTCAATCTTTCGTAAAATACTTTTGATTCATCCACTCAAGTTGAAATACATTTTTTTGAACTTGTAGTGGATGACACTTCATGTTGATACAGTTTTTTCAAATATTAATTCAGCAATTAAATTTAATTAGTTAATTTAATTTTTTTTTTTAGATTTAAGTTGCATATATCTACCCGTAGATGGCGCCAGACAAACTTAAAAAAAAATGAATGAAAATTATTTATAAAGGACTTTCTGCAATATAGTGAAAAAAAGTAGGAATTGACTTAAAAATTTTTTTTTTTATATTACTTGTAATAGAAACATGTCACGATTACACTAACATAAATAGTGCTTGACAACATTCAATTAACTAATATTTACTTTCAAAATTCTTCTAATTAATATCAATAACAGAGAATTTGAGGGATATTTCAAATTCAAACTTGTGATAATCAAACTATAATAAGTTAAGTTATAAAACTTTTTTCACTACATTAACGACTCAAAAACTGTTTTTTAAAGTTTGACATTTTACGTAACTTAAAACTTAAACTCTTCCCAAAATTTACATCAGCGCACCGATTTTTCTCGCGCTAAGTAATGAAACAAGAAACGGTTTTTGAAAGTACTAAGTTAAATTACGCACGGATAGGTTTGCAAATCTTTCAGAAAAGACAAAAACTATCAACAAAAAAAAAATCCAGAAAGATGCAAGAAACCATAGAAGAAGAAACGCAAGAAAAAAAAAGTTGTTTATACGAAACCCAGTAAGAAAGTACTGGAAAGCAAGTGAAAAAAGAAAAGAACAAAAAAAGAAAAATTGTACCAGTTGAAGAGGTGAAAAAGTGTCAGAAATAAAAGTTAAGTCAGCTAAGTGATAAAAGAAATTTGAACACAAACGATGGAGTTGAATCTTCCCATGTTTTTGTTTCTTTCTTTTTTTTAATTTTTTATTTTTTATTTTACCGTTTCTGTTCATTCAAGTGAAATTTCATTTGATTGTTGTAAATCTCTTTTTCCTCTTCCTATAAACAGCGAAATATTGTCATTATCTGAGTTATTGAAATACATACACAAAAGAAGAAATATTTTAAGAGAGCCATAAACATTTGTTCAAAATTGTTTATTTGTAAGAGGTGCGACAGAATCACTGTTTTTGTTTTTTAAAGTTGTACAGCTTTTAAAACAGAATAAAAAGCTGAAATAAATTATATGTATAGATAATTTTTTTTTCTTCTAATGCAGTTGGCAAATAGGCCGTGATCTTTCGCCATAAGGGCTGCACCGATGTTACTCAGGGGGGCGCGTGTAACTTGATGGTAAGCCACGGACGCGGAGTAACAATGCCCCCGCAGCGCTCTACGATCCTATTAGGACCGGGACCGACGGTTTCAAGTGGATTCCGAACCACTGCAACACCCATGGGCAAAGCCGGGATTTGAACCCGATACCTGTGGTACCGAACGCCAGAGCGCTAGCTATTCGGCCATCAGGCCCCTGTATAGATAATGTATTTGCGCATGTATAGGTGTTTGTCAAAATAATGGAAACTGCTTAGAGTAATAAGGAATCCTTTACTAATATGGCGTAAGACAGCCTTTGACATGCAATGCAGTTTCAATTTGCCTGGGAATCGAATCATGTTTTGTTGTTGTTTCTTATCCCACTTGGCTGGCCAAGCCCACGAGCCCATACGTACTCATGATTGGAGGGGAAGGAAGCAGCTTCTGTTGTGATGGAGCACCCGTAGGTAGAAGTCTGACTTTTGCTCCTTACAGTCATAGGAGACCGGGACCTACGGCTTAAAGTGGATTCCGAACCACTACAAACATCCATGGCAACGTCGGGATTCGAACCCGAAACCTGTGGCACCGAGCGTCAGAGCGCTAGACACTCGGCCATTCAGGTCCCAAATTTGTGAATGCCAACGGCACGCGGTGATTCCCAGGTGGTCACCCACCCAAGTACTGATCGCGCCCAATGATTATCTATTATCGAACGAGTTATCTAACGAGCCCGGTTATCTAACGAGAACCGGTATATTCAGCATGGTATGGCCGTTGGCAAGTCGAATCATAGAAGTGTTAAACAATGTTTAGAGGAATATTGAACCATTCTTCATGGAGATATTGTGAAAGTTGAAGTGATGTAACATTTCTTTCTAACGGGAAGAGTTTTGGTATTTCATTCCCATGACAGATGAATGTACGTTATTCGGCAAGTATATAATAACAACCCATCTCTCAAATTTGACATTATACAAGCAGTATTGTGGGTAGTTATATTACATGTAATTAGTGTTTTGTACTAATGAGAACAAGAGGGCCTGATTGCCGAATGGCTAGCGCTCTGGCGTTCGGTACCACAGGTATCGGGTTTAAATCCCGGCTTTGCCCATGGGTGTTGTAGTGGTTTGGAATTCACTTTAAGCCGTAGGTCCCGGTCCTAATAGGATCGTAGAGCACTGCGGGGGCATTGTTACTCCACGTCCCGTCAAGTTACACGCGCCTCCTGGGTAATGCAAAGTGAGTAACATCGGTGCAGCCCTTATGGCGAAAGATCACGGTCTATTTGCCAGCTGCATTAGAAGAAAAAAACTAATGAGAACAACCTGTCACTCAAATCTGGTAGCAGATATTAGGTATCATGTATAATGAGACTCGGGAAATTAAACAAGAAACGGTTTTTGAAAGTACTAAGATTCGGATAGATTTCCAAATCTTTCAGAAAACTATAATCAAGAAAGATGCAAGAAACTGTAGAAGAAACGCAAGAAAAAACATGTTATTTATATGAAACTGAGTAAGAAAATGCGAGAAAAGAAGTGAAAAAAAAGAAGAAAAAGAAAGAAAATGAAAAAATTCTATCAGTTGAAGAGGTGAAAAAGTGTCAGAAATATAAGTTAAGTGATAAAAGAAATTTGAACACAAACGATAGAGTTGAAACTACCCATGTTTTTGTTTCTTTCTTTTTTGATTTCGCAGTTTTTATTTATTCACGGGAAATTTCATTTGATTATTGTAAGATTTTTTTTTATTCTTCATATAAACAGCGAAATATTTTCATTATCTGAGATGTTGAAATATATATGCACAAAAGAAAATGTATTTTAGGGAGAGCCATAAACATTTGTTCAATGTAAGAGGTGCAACTGAATCACTGTTTTTGTTTTTTTAATGTTGTATAGCTTTTAAATTAGAATAAGAATTGAAATAAATTATAGACATAGATAATGTATTTGTATATGTACAGGTGATTGCCAAAATAATGGAAACACCCTAGAGTTATAAGGAGTCCTTTACTTATTTGACATGTAATACAGCTTGGATTCGCCTGGAAATCGAATCAGATAATTGCTGAATAGTGTTTAGACGAGTATTGCAGTGTTCTTGGAGATATTGTGAAAGTTCCAGGAGAGATGCCAGTGGAGAATATTGATTGCTCTAAAATAGACCATAACGGCCAGATGATATTGAGATTGAATACTGTGTGGACCAAGTTAGATGTTTCACTTCATCTTCGTGTTCATCAAATCGTGATTGAATAGGTTCCGCTGCATGAATAGGAGCATTATCATCCTGGAAAATTCCATCTCCTGCAGAATACAAAATGTGTTTCACAGGATGGATCTGGTCAGTTAAAACTTCTATGTACTTCTCCTCAGTGATCTTTCCATTCAGAGTTATAAAACCACGACATGGCTGTCCATATCATGACTCCATGCTTGGCAGTTGGTAGGAGACAATCACGATCATACGCTTGTGCAGGTGCCTTCCAAACGTGCATCCGACCTGTTGTGAGGAAAAGCGTGATTTGTGTGATTTTATAACTGTCTTCCACTTATCAATCGACCAGGTATTGTGGTTGTGGCGCCACTGTAGACGACGTTTGGCATTAACAGATGTGAGAAGTGGCTTGAGAATGGCGGCTCTTCCGTATATTTCCTGTTTATGAAGTTGCCTCCTAACTGTAATTATTGACATTGGAGAATCTAGACACTAATTGAGCTCTGTAGTCACTTCGGCTGCAATTGTTTTCTTTTTAAGCATTACAATCTGTTTCAATACACATAGGCTTCTTTCTCTCAGCTTCTCCTTCCGTCCACTTTTTTGCTTCGCAGAGTTTGTCTTGCCGCGATGTGTGTACACTGCCATGATTTCAGACACTATATACATCTAGAAATGCTTAAAAGTTGAGATGTTTCGGTCACAGTTGCTCCAACAAGTCGGGCTCCTACAATTTGGCCTCTGTGAAAATCTGTGAGGTCTGTCATTTTACGCTTTTGATAAAAATCCATTCGCAATTATGATTCCATTAGCTTATACAACTCAAGAAGTTCTCTGTCATGTTGTGTAATTATATAAACCAATAAAAATCCAGTAAGTAGGATAAAGAGGAAAATAATTTTTTAATGAATATTTTTTTTTCCGAATTAAATTTCGGATGTCGCATTGATTCACTGTAATGCAGGTCTCGCAAAAATTATAGATAATTATTTATTATTAATCTATTATATTTAAATACTAATATAATAGAATATTAATAGTCTCTAAAATATCTGGTATCCTACATAAATCTGAAAATATAAAATTCTTAAAGTTTTGTACCTCGACATATTTTCATGCGTATTTTTCTATTCTATCTTTTTATTACATGCATTTCTCTTCAAATATTTCTGTTTCGCAAACTTTCATTTTTTTTATTTAAATTTTTAATGAATTAGTGGAATTCTAGACGAAAAAGAATTAGATTATATGATTCGATAGTGACTGAATTAGAATCCGAAGAGAAAATATTTAAAACTTAAAAAAAAAATTAATTCATAGTGATTTATATTTGTAATAAATTATTAGTAATAACATTAAATCAATTAGTAATAATATTCAATTGCTTATTAACAATATTCAATCATTTGCAATTCTTGTACCGAATCTTTAGAGAATTTTCATTTTCAATTTATTCATGAACTTGAAATAAATTAGAATATATAATAGAGAATTATTTTATGGCTTATTTTAATCCCTTTTGCTGTTATTTTTTATTCAATCTTTATTGGTATTAGTTATTTTTGTATGATAAGACTTAAGTTATTTTTGTATGATGTTATTTTTGTATGCAAATATCTGATTGATTGCTTTTGTAGACGTGAAAGCAATAATTTCTTAAAGATAAAAAATATTAAATTCTTCTAATTCAAGATTTAAAATGATCGACAGATTGGAAATTTTCTCTTCGACTTATTTTAATATGAATTTTATAAATTTCATTGACATTTTTTCTCAATAAAATTTATCAATTGCAATTTTTACTAAAACCGAATTTGGGGGTTATAAGTGAGGATTTAAAATACCTTATAAATAAAAAATAGAATATTTTAATAATATTCAAGAATTTGATTCTCCTGTCAGGCAATGGTTGGAATAGGCTCCTAAATTATTTTTTACTTAAAATACGAAAAAAATTATTTTACGAGTTTAATAATTTATCATTTATAACATGGATGTTTCAATAATTTACCGATCAAAATAATATTACTATAGACACTATCCTGTGATAAAATTCATTTATTCAATTCCTTCTATTAGCTCACACTCTCCCTCTATATATCTTGTTCAAATTTTTAATCGTTCATAAAATACTTTTTATTCGTCCATTCAAGTTCAAATATATTTTTTTAAACTTGTAGTGGATGACACTGGATGTTAATACAGTTTTTTCAAATATTAATTTAGTAATTAAATTTAATTAAATAATTTTAGTTTTTTTTAGACTTAAGTTGCATATATCTACCAATAGATGGCGCCAGATAAAGTTAAAAAAATGAATGAAAATTATTTATAAAGGACTTTCTGCAATAGAGTGAAAAAAAAAATTAGGACTTGACTTTAAACAAATTTTTTTTATATTACTTGTTTTTTACATAAAGTAAGAAAAAAAAATATTTTACGAGTTCAATAATTTACCATTTATAACATGGCTGTTTTAATTACCGATCATTTTTATTGTGAGCAATTCAATCATTTTGATAATTCAATAATTTACCGATCAAAATAATATTACTATAGACATTATATTGTGATTAAATTCATTTCTTTTTACTATGAGTGCAGAATCATTCCTGTATTTTTTAACACTACTAGATTTATTTCTTCTATTTTGTCAATAAATGTTTTAACTGATGTCCTTCCATTTTTTTAAAAAATTTGTTTTATAACTTTCATCTATTCTAGTTTGTTTTGTTTATCAAAAATCTTCAACGAGATCAATATATATATTTTTTTTAATACTTTTGAAATCAGTTAAATCCTACTGATTCTCAGAGGATCTATTTTATTTGTATTATATTTTATTATTTCTTTTTTCTGATTTCTTCTTAAGAGCAATTGGATAAATTGAAATAAAACAACTACCGCAAGAATAAATCTCAAAGTCAAGGCAAATAAGTCAAGTCTTGCTTTTCTTCCTTTGCTGTCAAGTAATTTTTCTTTCTTTCTTTTTTTTAAAATTGTAAATTTTTTTATGAGGATAAATGTGGAAAATTTTAGAAATGGAAGCTTTAAAACTTTTGTAAGGAAAATAACCTTTCAAAATAATTGTGAAATATTTACAAAAAATTTAAAATTCTAAAAAAAAATTTATAGAGGGTTAACAGTATAAAAATTACAACTTCATTACATATTCCTTACAACTTCATTCATAACATTAAATTAATGTTACTATGTACCTAACTAACTCCACGGCACTATAGCTCCATGATGGACCAAGGTTCTATATGGTTTTATGGTTTTTATATTTCTTAAATATATATTAAAAACGCTTTTTTTATTTCTTTGTATTTCTGAACAATGTCTTATTCTTCTTCATTGGCGCAACTGCCCCTTGGAGGGCCAAGGCCGTCTGCCTACTGGCAGATTTCGAGGCAGGAGATGTTTTTACATGGGTAAAGGTGTCACCCTACTCCCAACGCTCTATAGACATATTTTAATACATCTCATATTCTAATATGTCACGGTTTAAAATGGATTCCAATCACTACAACCATCCATGAAACCGCCAGGACTC